TCCTTGGAACGAGTAACTGCAGATAACTGGCAAAGATGTATACATCATGTACAAAAAGAAGAGGAGAAAATGTGGGAACTCGATAATTTAATTGACGTTACTGTGGAACCTATCGTTATCAATCTAGGAGACGAAGATAATTCATCAGAATATTCAGAGGATGAATTTTAATATACCTACTTTTTTATTTTCTTTTTTGTACATTTATACAACACTACATTTACTCACCATAATTTGAATTTTCAAAATACATATATTTTTGTGTGGAATAAAAATCTATTCATTAAATTTAATTAAATATTTTAATAATAATATTGAATAATTTTATTTGAATTACTAAAAAACCTCGGTTATGATGCTTAAAGTAGCCTCATGTTTTGAAATGCTGTTTTTATATTGTTTACTTATAAGAGAAATGGACCGAAAAATTTAAGCGGCATAGACAAAGACGGATTGTCGGAGATTAAATTTTACCTACCTGCTACAATTTAGTACAGTCCGATGGCACAAAGTTTTTTAAAAGTACATCTCATCTATACCGAAAATGCATAATATAAAAATATTGAATATAAGCACCAGTACTACATTTATTTACGATTTGCCTACATAATGAGCTTTTATTACTCTCTTTCATTTCTAAACAGACTATAGATGATTCTACATCACTAAAAAATGAAGAAAAAGGTTCCCATAAACATAAGGTAACGAAATTAAAAAAAAAATGTTGTTTAATATCAACAAATCGGAAGAAGCGTTACATTCAAATTTGGTATGCAGCTTTAGCTTTTTCCGAAAATTAAACATTTCTGACAAGGATTCCGCTATTAGGTAAAATTTTCTAGTTAAATTGTATTTACATTACTGTAATATTCTTCACTAATGTTATATTCTTCTAATGTTTGTTAAGTAATACATATTCTTACCTTTCGTGTGCGTCGACGTCTTGTCTAGGGCCCTAGAAAAATGTTCGTCGACGACGGAAGCGGCGTCGCCCTGGTAATGCGTAAAAACCACGCAGTTGGCCGAAACGTATTGCGCCCTAGAGCTGCCCGTGTCCTGAGAGTCATCGTCATCCACGCCCTGCTGATGATCTGAAAATAAATAATCCATAGAAGGTAATATATTTAAGAAAGAACAGGTCGAGAGATTGTCTTTCAGTGTTACACATTGAAAAATTTTTGCATGGATCTGAGCTGTGTAAGCGAAGAAAAGAGCACTTAATTTGTACTAATAGATATACAAAAAAAAATGTTGCCATCACGTATTTGTCCTTTGATTTTAGAGAATTGTTAATGAACTATTTTGTGAGTCCTACATGGAGAGTTTTGGGAGAATAAAATATCGTATTCAGTTCTTAATTTTAAGGTCATTAGACATGTAAAAAAATACTAAAATCAGATAGTGAGAAAACTGAACTTGATTGATTTAAAAATTACTATACCCAAACATTTTTTGGTTTCAAATTGTAATAATTATAACTATATTGAACAGATTTCCGCAGTAGTACAATTGGAATAGCCTCATAGAATGATAAATTAACATATTTACCAAAATTCATTAAGAATCATCATTATTTATTACTGTTTCTTATGAGACAATGCTGTGGTAGTAGCTGAAGTTACACCAAGAACTGATTCTGATTCAATAAAGTACGAGGCAGTTCTCTCTCGAGCTAGAGGGTCTGTTGTATCCTTCTCCTGGAAACCTTAATGGTCTGGTGTCTAGATTAGAGTTCCTATGGTTTTTCCTAACAGCACCAGAACTTCCTAACAATTATATACCCTTCTTGAATTACATCAGTTTTAAGAGCTTTCAAAGCTGTTTGACTTTTAACGGCATTGGCTACTTGGACTGAATTATGAAAACACAACTCAGAATAACCTCATGTAGGCCAACAAGACGACCCGTTTCAAAATCACTCAGTTGATAATTCTGCCGTCTTCTAACTCTGGGCATTTTATCACTATAGCTTAGAACTGTTTCACTCGAATAATAACAACAAACTGACTAAAATACCAGAGAATAAAATTAAAAAAAAAATTGGAAGGCATATCAAAACAAGATAAAATGTCACTCTTTTTTAATTTTTTTTATCCTCCATTAGTCTCAACATCTTAAGCATATTATGTATAGAGATTGGTTTTAAAATATTGACCTCAACAGGGTGATGCATTTTTTTTTGTCACAAAGTATACTTTCTACTTCTGAGCGTTTAATAATGGAATTATAATAAAAACCGCAAGTCGCAGCGGTGGCATGTACTAAAACATAAAAACTGAAAAAAAAAGGAAAACCTGTCAAAGTCGTAAAAGTTTTTACGATTCCATTTAAAATTTGTCGGTTTATTTGGCATATACACACGGGTCTTTAATAAAGTCGACCAGTGAGCTGGCAGTCGTTAACATCTAAATTTTACTGCTGTCAGTTATGAAATCGGGACCTTCCTTCAGGTCGATCGTAACTTATGCCGTTTTATTATCTTAAAAATACGCCACTCACGCTTTTTAATTAATCAAGATCAAGTGGAGAGGCCATAAAACTGGTATTTAAAAAAATGGTAACGGCTGTAAATATTTCCTCTATTTAAATGTATGATAATTTAATCCTAGTGTTCTATAAGTTTAAGTCATTCTGCTGTGGCATATTCAGCGTTTAGTATTATTTATTAGGGTTTAAAACCGTCAAAATACATAACCATATAATAGTAAGAAGCAGGAAATATTATTCTTTTTCATTTTATTTCTTCCGCTTTGGGCGCAAATATACCTATTATAAATGGTCTATATTTGAACAAATTTATGACGAAATTTTGTGTCGGATATGCGTTAAATATGAGTAGGTACAAATTCCAAAATTAATCTTATTAAAATTGAAAAAGTGAAACAATTTACATAACATTGAATATTTTGCGGGTCTTGTGCCACCATTTATCTATAAGATGAATTAGACTTCCCAAAATTGTTCGTAATGTTGATTTTACTAAAATCGAAAGTTCAACAAAATTCACAACTATTCATTTAGGAGTGGATATAGACAATGTTACACTAAGAACTTCAATAAGATAAGTTTATATAAATAATGCCGTTCGGTTCTCAAATGTATAGATCTTTTAATGGCGCAGAAAGGTGCAGAAAATTAATTGATTGTTGAGGAAAGATGCAGGGTATCCCAAAAGTAACGCAAAATTTGAATTGTGCACCACTTTCATTCCGAAGAATTGGCAGCATTGTGCAAGGCCATATAATGAAGTAAATACGTTGCGGTTAGTTAAAATAGAGCGCTATACGACGGATGAGTGAGCGAAGTTTGAAAATTCATTACAAAAACGGAGAGTGTGTAGCTGAGATTGTGCGCGAATTACCTGGAATTTTTAGGTAGAAGAAACTGGCTGTCCTCGTACTGGCCATTTGGCCGAACATGTTGGTACGGTGAGTGACCGTAACCAGCGAATTTTAATAAAAGATCTGTATCTACATCCATTCAAGATTCAGCTAACCCAGGAATTGAAACCAGATGACCATTTAATGCCCTGGATATTCATTGATTGGATGTTGGAGAGTCAACAAGTGCACCAAAAAGGATTAGTGAAGAGATATTTTTTTTAAAACTATTTTTACCTAACTAAAAATCTGACTGGAAAAGGCAGACTCATCATTATATTTGAAAAATCTACCTGCTTTTATTTTTAGAACTAGAAATGATGTTTCTTTTTTAATTAATTTTAAAAAAGAAACGTCATTTCCGATTTTGATAACGAAAACAGATTGATTTTTCGAAACATTTACTATAATTGCAGTTCGTGATATAGTGATGTGTATTTTTTATTTATCTACTTTTTTAGTATGAAAAGTTGGGTTAGCAAAAATGGTTTTACAAAAATAACCCTTGCGTAATACTTTTGGAGCAAGGGTTCATTTGATTAATTTTCTTCACAGGTGGGGAGACACTCAAAAAGCAAAGAAAGGACAAATATTTCAAAAAGTTCAATAAGTCGCTTCATCACATTTCTGTGTTGCTACTTGTCTGTTAAATTTCCTTGATAAAGGTATCAACCTATTGCAGTGAATTTCACAACAAATATTATCAGTGAAAACAATAACAATTTCAAATAATTTCATTTTTGGAATAACAGATAAAGAAATCTTAACAGTGTTTACTAATTGATATATCTAAGTTAGTTTAAAATTAATTTTAATTTAATTGAATGGTTTCCAACATTTATAACGAAAAAAATATGTATTTAAAAAATAAATAATAAATAAATAACGCCTTACAACCAAAAAATAAAACAAAATAAAATATAAAATAAGACAAAAAATTTTTTTGTCTGTTTGTGCTTTCTTTAATGCATTGGAAAACAATAAACATAATTATCAATATCTAACAAATTGCTGAATTTTAGGTTAAAGCAAAAATGTTCCCAATTTTTTGTTACATATTAGGATCGAAGTACTTTTTTTGCACACTACCACCTGCAAGTATGAGCATAAAAACATTTTTATGTCAAGTTTAACCCTTTACTGCCCTACGCCTATGACTAATTCTGATTTAAAACAAGTGTTTTAAATTTCTAGGCAAACACCAATGGCAGTTTTAGTGGCACACCATGTATATCCTACAAACTCTTAGCTGCAACCTAGGAAATAAATAAAGCTACGAAAATTTGAAAGTTTATAGTTACCTTTAATGGACAACCAGTATTTTTTATATAACGATGTCGGAAATAGGCATTTTCTCTTCGCTCCTTTCTTTTATGCTACTTGTTCCGAGAAATGTCTGAAGCGGTGTTGATAAACGGACAAAATTGTAGAAAAGGCCGTTCATTAGCGGACACGCTGATTTGTACTAAATACTAAATATGTAGACAACCACTGCAACCTGTGTGATTTACCGTACAACAAAAACGGGTGATTAAAATGTAAAGGTTCTATTATGTTTATTTCATTCTCATTGTAGCAACTACTTGAATGCGAACTACCTGCATGCTACAGATAATTAATCAGTTTTTCAACAATTAGTAGGAATAGGTGCTTATATACAATCCCTATGTAATAGAATAAAGAAGTTGGTTTAAAATTAGGATTTGGTTTTATATAATACCTGTTACCTGTTGCCCCTATGTGTGTATTTTTTTCAGACCAGTTTCAATCACCTAGTTTAATACAACAGCATATTATGAAACAATTACAACGATTAATGATTAAATTACATAAGCAGGAATATCAGATAAAATGTATTTGGACGGAATATTCAATTATTACCAAATGATGTCGATAGTTTTTCATAAATATTTATCTAGAACGAGTATTAACGATTTAAGTAAGATAAGGATAAATAGTGAACATTTTAATCATTTTAAATTCCTTGCCAATGTTTGCAAATTTAAGTAGAATGTTCAATTAGCATTGTCATTAAATATGTTATTGTTTATCAAGTCATAATAAAACAATAATATAAAAACAAATAATAAATTTAACAAACAGATATAACAATTCACAAAAATTTGATGTGTCTTGTCAAAACTGCTTTAATTTAAATTTGAGTTTAACCACAGACAAAATAGCTTGGCGATAAGCTATATTGTCTGTGGGTTAGCCTTTAAGCTGCTAGAAAATTGCCAAAGCCAGAAACTGTTTGAAATACCGAACCCAGAATTTTAATGCATCAACAATCGCTTATAGTCTCTTCATAGAAAAATAATTTATTTTTATTAGATATAAATGACTTTAAAATTTAATGTGAACATCTATTTTTTGCTGATGGTCGTTCTTGAAAATTGACTATCAATAATTTATTAATTCAACAACATTTGAAGAAATTAGAGTAAAAGTATTCTAGGTGCAAAGTTTTAATACATATGATTATATGCATATGAAACTTTCTATTGTGTTTGATTATAACCTTAAACTCTCAAATAGGGGAGAGTGGTACACTATAAATCCCCGTAGTTAGTTTTTCAAAAACCATACTGTTTAGGTAAAAAAAAAAAAATAAAATCTACATGGATGTTTTTGTATCAATGTGTACCACTGGTGGTACAGTTTGAAACATGGGGTAATACACAATGAAACAAAATGGTACAAGTATAAAA